TACAATTTACCTGTATTCTTGTACAGGGAAATTTAGTTTTCAGGTCCGTACGGTGTACGGCCGTTTCAATACCGGCAAAAAAACCCACATTTTGTATATTTGTGTTTCTCCTTTGTGATGGGACGTTGAGATGTATACGATACCTCCTGTGACTTTACCGAAATAACCAAATTGTATGGATTCCTGCAGTCACGAACACTTCAAATCTAGACCAAGACCAATAAGGTCTGAATTGTTCTGGAGTAAGGTAGGGGGGCACTGATAAGGGGTTGACAGGTTTGTTGTATATTTGGAGTTTGTGTGTCTCTCATCTCTCCACGTGGTTGCGTAGAGTTTTCTCTGGGTCCTCGGTTTTTCCTCTCCACATTTAGAATCGAGATCACGCATTTGGGTTATTTGCGCGCTATTCATTTCCACATGATGATAAGCCACTTCGTTGAGCTCCCAATTGTGGCCAGGTGGCTTCTGAAAAAGAGTGATAGCTCAGTGGGCTTTACCTGTTTAACAAAGTTAAATAGCTAAACAAATATATACGTGCCATGTTATATTTTTGATTTAAAGTTTTCTTGACTGCAGGGATTCATATTCTTGGTTATTTCGGTAAAGTCACGTAGGAAAAAAAGGAGTTTTATTTATTTATAATATTTTTTTATTTCCCTTATACGTGACTTTACCGAAAGAACCAAGAATATGTGCCATGTTATGTCAATGCTTTAGTTTTCCCCTCCTCATATGTCATTGGGATTCCCCCCCAAGCTATCATCGTCTTCCATGTGCGAAATAAATCTTAAAATCAATTGCCGGAGGCTTTGGGGAGTAGCTTGGAACAGCAACGGATTGTTGAATCCGTCTGTGCAGCGCTGTGAGTTCGGCTGCTTTAAAACGAGTGTTGGGGTTTTTTTTTCCGGGTACATTAATCAGGTTTTCCTCCCACATGCAGCCAAACGCTTAATTAATGGAATTTAACCGAACGATCCCAAACAGGACCCTCCTTCAAGTGAGGCCTCCGTTGATGTGTACGCTACAATTCGACGTTATTCCAACAGTGAGTGCCGGTGGTGTTAGTTTAACGACGCGGGAGTTCGCGACCAAATATTTTTCACGACAAAGGTTTGTTTCTTTGGAGAGGGGGGGGAGTTAAGGCAAACCCGACTCATTTTCTGTGTCAATTTGTGACCGCCAGAGGCCGCTGCTGATCGCCTCAGCGGTCACGAAAACGGAATTCGATTTTCCCGCGCTTTTTATCTGGCCAACGGTCATTTCCGGTCTCGCGCTCAACCCCTGGGGGGTGGGGGGGGTCGGAAATTGGATCAAGAGGGGGGCTTGGTCAGTGGGGAGGGTGGGGGGCCGGAAGTAGGACCGGGGGAATAGATCAATTGGGGGGGGATGAAGAGTAGGGGCCGGAAGTAAGATCGGGGGATTAGATAAATGGAAGGGGGGGGGGGTTTGAAGAGTAGGGGCCGGAAGTAGGACCGGTGGAATAGATAAATGGAGGGGGGGGGGGGATGAAGAGTAGGGGCCAGAAGTAGGACCGGGGAATAGATAAATGTAGGGGGGGGGGGGGGGATGAAGAGTAGGGGCCGGAAGTAGGACCGGGGGAATAGATAAATTGGTGGGGGGGGGGGGGTTGAAGAGTAGGGGCCAGAAGTAGGACCGGGGAATAGATAAATGTAGGGGGGGGGATGAAGAGTAGGGGCCGGAAGTAGGACCGGGGGAATAGATAAATTGGTGGGGGGGGGGGGGTGAAGAGTAGGGGCCGGAAGTAGGACCGGGGGAATAGATAAATGGAGGGGGGGGGGATGAAGAGTAGGGGCCGGAAGTAAGATCGGGGGATTAGATAAATGTAGGGGGGGGGATGAAGAGTAGGGGCCGGAAGTAGGACCGGGGGAATGGATACATGGAGGGGGTTGAAAATTGAATCAAGAGGGGGGGCTTTGTCAGTGTGGAGGGTGGGGGCCGGAAGTAGTTCTGGGGTAATAGATAAATGGGGGGGGGGGGTGTCAAGAGTGGGGGCCGGAAGTGATTCCCTGAAGAGGGCAGTGTGGTCGAGAGCCAGAAGTGGGAGGATCCGGGAATGCGAATCGATTCATCGATTAGATATATCGATTAATCGATTCGTTATAAATCGTTAAGATCACGATTGCGTTCGTCGAGCGAGGTGAGTTCGAGTTATTCTCGATACGTTGGTTTATGGCCACAACGAATTGTAAAGTGAAAATCGATGCCCTCTGTAAATTTAATCGCGGCCATAAATCGTGACAATTGATGAACTTGTTCAGGCCAAAATTGGTTATACTCGTAGTGCGTGCAATGATGGACTGATTCATCATCAAACTTAATTTTAACAATATGCTTGCACTCCGGTATATATTTTAAGAGTCCGTCTTAAGGTATGATTTCCATATCAACTATAGATGCTATAGTTTCACACCGCTATGAATGATATACCATCAACGATACTGGGACATAGCCTAACTGCACTAAACGGATTCACAAAATTGCGTATTCAAAAGATACACAACACCACTATAGAGTGTAAAGATTCACAAGATGAGTTTAGAGTCGCAATTCCCAACATTTTCTCATCGAAACGTGGAGAGGGGAATTCATTCCGGCTCGTAAAGTCTTCAATACACGTATCTTGAACGCAATCGACATAAATCGATGGATTCATATCAGAATATGTATTTATACTGGAGGAATCCGATGAGCTATAAAGCTCTTTTTCAGATGTCCAGTCGGGGCGGGTAAGAACTTTATAATACAAGAACATGATAGAAGTGCAAGAAAGGTAAATAAATCACCCAAACACATAAAAATAAACCATCCGTATCCCACCAGACAAAGCCCACTGAGGTACACGACAAGAGGCAAACAAAGACTCAACAAAGTCTATAACAGGCGACGTTTCGCGCAAGGGCCACATTTCACTGCACGTGGCCAAGGGAGAAGAGTCCTCGGCGCTCTGAATATTGACCGCTGCATGATACGTCGCCTATTTGATGTTACTTTAAGGCAGTTTTATTGACGAATGTATTGGATGACTATAATTCTAGATTTGAAGCTTTCGTGACTGCAAGGATTCATACTCTTAGTTCTTTCGGTAAAGTCACGTAGGTAAAAAATGAAATTAAGAACATTTAATTTTAATTTCATTTTTTACCTACGTGACTACCGAAAGAACTAAGAGTATGGATGACTATATTTTGTTATTTGCGCTCGTGCACGACAGCCAACGCAGAATCGCCAGATAAGTTGACAAGAGGCAAGGGAGGTGTTGGGGCTGGTTTCAGGGTGGTGGGGGGTGGAAGTTCCTCCGGGAGGATACGAGGTGGTGGGGGTCGTGGCGAGACGCAGGTGGCCAGGGCTCTGGAGAGAGGAGACGGAGCTTTTAAACCAACTAGATAAGCAGACAATATCACATGCGTTCTGTTTAATCGGGTGAGAAGTCGAGAGACGGGGAGAGTCTAATTTCCAATAGTGTTCTGGGTCACCAAATTGACAAATGCCAAACTAAAATAAATAAACGAAGCGAATAGATATACAGTAGATAGTATTGTACTTCTTGCATAATTTCAGTAGCATTGTTTCAAGACAAACAAACTTGCTTGAATTAGTGCTGATGACCGGCAAGCCAAGGATTCTCTATTTAAGATATCGGACCTTTTGTTTAAATTATCCACGACGCCAATTATTGTTTTGCAATAAAGAACTCGACACGTCCGTCAATAACACTGCCTTCAAAGGGTAAGGGCCATTCATCATAGCTTTTACATTGCCCGAATCGTCGCCTATGATATAGCTTCTCTTTTAAGGCCACTGTCGTTGACAAAATTTGTTGAGTTTGCCCCTTTATATTGCTGGTGCACCACTGCCAACGCAGCAGCAGCATCACCAAAGTGAGTACCAAACTCGGTTTAAATTCCATCCGTGTAACGGCCCCAGATCTCTGGAATCACCCAGCGAACATGTTTGTGATTAAAACCTTACCATCCTTACTCGTCATCAGGCAAAGGCTGATGACGACCGCTTGTGTTGCGATCGAAACGTCGTGATTTGTTTTATTTTATTTCGAACTACGTGACTTTACCGAAAGAACCAAAGAGTATGGATTCCTGCAGTCACGAAAGCTTCAAATCAAGATTCTTACCATCCTTGTCCTACTTTAATTCGATTTTGGACCTGCTTAGCAGCCTTTAGGTTATCCTCATTGTATGTGATGTGTTCTATGAACCTTGTATATTTATGTTGTACCATGTTGATGCACGACCTTGTAATTCGGACCTGACAATGTCTACAGTATTTGCTTTTTGATTGTTTTTTTTTTGCTGTAGCCAGGCTTCTGTGGGATAACCAATTCCCTATCGAAAATGAGCATTTATCGCCCAACGGGTTTCCATACCTGTCAACCCCTTATCAGTGCCCTACCTTATTACAGACCAATTCAGGCCTTATTCGTCACCCCGTGCTCTTATAAATCTCAACGTTCATCCAACACAGTCCCATCACGAGGGAGAAACAACCAAATATACATTTGTTTGCCTGTATTGAAACGACTGTACGCCGTATGGACCTGGAAACTAAATTTCCCTGTACAAGAATACGGGCAAACCGTATGGGTTGACAAGTATGGGTTTTACCCTGTGCCAGAATAAAAACTCCTAATAAACAATTGCGGAACAAATAGATACGGTACGTATTCCTTGGGTCTTAATAATAACAACAAAATAATAATTATTTTTCTTCTATCTACGTGGCTTTACCGAAAGACCCAAGGAATATTAATCCCTGCAGTCACGAAAGCTTTGAGTCAAGATTTAGGTACGGCACGTTCATTTGAAATCAATAGGGAGGAGTCCACGTGTAGAGGGGGCGGAGTCTGCAGGCGGCAAGGGCGGGGCTAGAGCAGGAAGGGGCGGGGCTATAGCAGGAAGAGGCGGGGACTAGAGCTGGTGAGCGGGGGAGGGGCGGAGCGACTGGGGAGGGGAGGGGCGAAGGGGGGGGGCGTGGCGTGACCCGTGACCCCGACGTGGAGACCGCGCCATTGTTCGCGCGGGCGCCCCGAGAGAAGAAGCGCGGCGCTCGCGATGTCCGCCCCCGCGTCGCTTCGGCAGCCCTGACGCCTGTGAGTGTGCCGCTCTTCTCTCTGCTCCTCCTGCCCGCACCACGTCGTCCCCTCTCCTACACCCGACCGTTCGTTCCCCAACCACCTCCTCGTCGCTCTCGTCTCTCCGCTCGCCGTGCGCCGCTGCTGGCCGCGAGGGTTGTTTTCACGGCGGCGGCGGCTCCGTGCAACCCGGTGGTGGTGGTGGTGGGGGGTGCTGGTGATGGCGGGAGGATGAGGAGGATACCTTCACCTCTTCTTTCTTCTGATCATCGTCATCTTTGTTGGTGTCGTCGTGTTGTTGTTGTGAGTCGGGCATGGAGGGGGGGGGGGAGGTAGTCGTCTTTGTCCTCGCAGGTCTGTTGGTTGGGATTTGTCTCTAGTCCTGTGTGAGCAGCATGGGGGATGATGATGATGGGATTTGTTCAGAAGCGATGTCTGGTGGTGGTGGTGGTGATGGTGGGGAACATCATCTTCACAATGACCACAGTTGCCAACGGGACTGTCATCGGCATTATCATCACAAAGATCCGCAGCAGCACCGTCATCATAATCGCAGCTTTATCGCCGTCACTAAAATAGCCATCAGCACCATGAAGTCGCCGTCACTTCTTATCATGGTTGTACATTATGGTCATCAGCATCATGTCCACATCATTGTCATCACCATCGTCATTCCCATCAATGCTGTCACCAACATCGTAACCATCGTAATCGCAATAAATATAACTCGCATAACCATCACTAACACAACGATGATCATTTTAACGGCCAACATTGTCACCACCATCATCATCGCCGTCTCAATGTGGTGAGAATGCTCCTCTGCTCCTTGTTGGCTTGACCAGGCAGCGCCCAATACAGCCGCGAGGCCAATGTCACGATTGTACTATGGAGCATCACGTAGTCCCCAACATCATAACAGTCATCATCTTGATCAGCATCATGAACATCCTCATCCGCGTCCTCGCTCACCTTCGCCGTCATCACTTTAATAATCATTATATGATCGCAATGCCCACTGCAACAGAGATTGCCTTCTCTCGATCGGCTTTAGCGTCACACTCCACGGGAGGTGGATTACTTGGTTCATTGTTGATGAGGGTCGTGTATTTGTACGTTTAGCGCCAGGCGTAAGCATTTTAGAACTTTCGGCTTGACCCCCTGCCCTATGAGTGAAATAAATCAACGTGAGAGTTGATCGATTGTTGTTTTTTGTGAGGAGTAATTCGAAATTTGTTTTTCAGATTGTTCAAGTGATAAGTGTAAAGTCCAAAATTTTGGCTCAACGTTATTCCAAATTTCGGCTCCATAGCTCTTTTAGAAAATTATTTATTTACATTCGTCCCTCAGTTACGATCGCGTCCATACAGTACATACCACTGCATCTCGTCTGCCTAATGTGCATGTACACCATTTCAGAACTACGAATTGTAGCAGTAACATGCATTTATAAGTTGATGAAGTGAATAAGCATATACTTCTATTCAACGAAACTGTTTCGGCACAATTTTAACCTATACTTTAAATTTGGCTAACAGTCTACTAAACTTCAGGATTAAACCGTTGTGAACTGGTTTTGCATGAACAGTTTACAGAGTTCGACTCTTACTAAACCGGTTTACTTCACGCAAGATGGACTCGTGGATTAGTATGCGCACAGAGGAGGAGAAACTGGGAAAGTGAGAGGCAGTAAGAATTGAGCCGGGGGCTACGAAGAAGAGACGAGGCCACGGTTTCTCTTTATTGTTCACCACCGCCTTCATTAATTCAACGAGGAGGATGAAGCGGCAGTCTCGGCTCGTTTTTGTTTTGTCTTTTGTCACGGGTGGGTTTAGGGTGAAGCTTTGGTTTAGCGTGTGGCCCCGCAGCTGGTCCCCGACGCCGACTTGGTGTGGCCGCTTGGCCCGTGAACAACCCAAGACTGAAGGAGTGCACAATAAGAGAAAAATGGGCCCTGACAAACGCCGAACTTGAGTTTTTTGGCCACGGTGAGGGTTCGTTTTAGGAGATTGTTGTCTAGTTTGTTTGGGTTTGGACTTGTACTCACGGCTTGTTAGTTATGGTCATTGTAAGGGCTATTACAAATAGCTGGGAGGCTAGGTGATTCGGGTTAGGACTTGGACTAATGATTGTCTTGGCTAGTTTGTTAGAGTTAGGGCCAGTGTGAGGTCTAGGACAATTATCTATACGGCTGGTTGAATATGATTAGGGGTTGTACAAATGGCTGTTTGGTTGGTTCTTTAAGGCCAGTGCAAGGGTTGCAAATAGTGGCTGGTTGATAAGTAAAAGTGATTGTGGCTGGTTGGTTAGAGGCAGGTCCAGAATTTGTTTGGCCCGTGTCCTCTGTCCACTAAACTGCCCTCTCTGCTCCCCAGTGCAACGTTCACCTTCTTCGGTTGTTGGCTGCTCCTTGTTTCTCGTGGTTTACAGTGCCTTCATGAATGAATACGAATCCAATTCATGCCCTCTGAATTTTGCACAGCTTATGCAAAACATCTGATTGCGCCCGTTCTTTGGTGGTACGAACTTGGCGCGCGTTCACCAGCGGACTAATATTGACGCTGCTTTGTAGAAATATGCGGTTTCGCTGTAAGCGTTCAAATCGGTTCTCACAGTATAATGCGTCGCATAATGTAGACAAGAAATGTCGTTGTACAGTGATACCGACGGGGAGGTATTTTAAACACTTTTTTTTCTCACCGCAATGTTTTGGCAAGGGAGCTGTGAAAACGCCTGGGATAACCAGTGGCATGATTAAGTTGTCAAAATTTATTTTTGAAAAAGCAAAACTATGCAAGCATTGGAATCTTCAGACATCACGAAAGTCAGTATCTCCATGCTCAATTGCAAGATGGGGCAGTGCTCATTTGCAATCATGGCCCTGAGCGATTTATGAAAATTCCACATTTCCATGGCTGAGATCGGCCTTACGTTAGGATTAGCCTATGACCAACTCAACTTTAATAATCCCCATGTGGTCATGCCAGAAGCTAAACATAATTTTTCCTCGTTGTTACTTGAATAGGTGGCCCTGGCCTTTCCAATTGCTTAAGGTGTGGATTTGGAAGCTAGACAGAATATGGCAGTATCGAGTCCCTCGTATGAATGGGTTTTTTTCTCTGAGTATTGCTTCCTCCCACATGCGAAACAAATTGTTAATGGTCTACGTTCAGTTTAAAAACTCACCAATGCAGGACCCGCCTGAAAATGTCTTGAGACTCAGCGAGGCATTTCTGGGTAGATGGCCATCCGCACTGTTCTCCCAAAGTGGTGGTTGTTTTTTTTATCAACCTCTAAAGGATGATGGACTAAGTTGGCTCACAACCAAAATAAAAAATCTGCATTCTGAATGCGAATTGAGTGCTTTGACCGCAGTACCATCCCGTCGGATCTACATGCAAATGAGTTTAACTAAAACATTCTTCATTATAGCACTTATAACCTCATAACATTAGACTCACTGGTCAAATCCAGTGTTCAGGGAGTCACAAACAGTTCGTAGAATGTTTGTGCAAATGTACGTACTGCACACTCGGTGCCTTGGGACAGCAGGAGGATGCCACGTGAATTTCACCTCTGTGCGAGAGCGGCCGTCGCCTGTTCTGTGAATATTGTTCCCTGAGCATCACTATTGCGTGATGTGCATTTATTTGTCGTGGAGAGCTCCTCGCCAGAGTCTCTCACTGTTTGCCAGTGCAGTGGGAGTGACTGGATCTCTTGATAGTGCTTTTACATGCTGGGTATCCATTAAGAAGTAGGATAAATAACTGCTTATTTGAATCCAAATTGCCTGTTTTTATTTTCATAAGTTGAGGAAATGTTACTGTTTTTCAAAGCACAGTTGGCGGTGTGTGCCGTGATTTGTGCGGTGTTTTTACAGTAACCTCCCGGTTATAGCTGTAATTGGATGGAATCCATCCCGTGTAGCTTATATTGACTTAAGACCTATTTACTATGTCCAGAATGCATTTATTCGCTTCCACACCTCCGATTAGCGCAGTTGGCTATGTACGGTGTGAAAGAGGTTCAACATACAACACAAAGCAAGATATATTTTTGTTATGAAGTATAAATACTCATCCAGTTATATCTATTCTCAAAGTAACTCTTATTCAAATCAACTACACTTATTCGAAGAAATACGTGAATTGGAAACCCAGTAGCGGTGGCGCTTCCACCTCTGGCAACAGTGCTATGGAATTTCAGCAGATCACAGAGAAAATACAATTCGCTTTGACCCAGAGGGATTTTTTGGCCACAGCGAGTTCCTCATTGCTGGGCCCTCTAGCTGAGGATAAAACTCCTCTTGGCCGAACGGGTGAAGGCGTGCCACTGCCAGTATTTAATATTGCACTGCTCTGAGCACCTGTGATACACATTTTTCAGTATTCTTGTAACTTCATTGATTACAATTGGTTAATGTGCTCATGCGTTACGTGCATCGAATTGTATGCGTAAGAACGGTAGGTGTATGAGTTGTTTATGTCGTGCATCCTTTGGCTTACAAGATGAGCGAATCTGTGCACCAAGTGGGTATCCATTGCAGAGATGGAATGAGAAATTATTAACTCATCTCCAGGCGCTTACTGGGTTGTTGTATTGTACAACTGTCAGATTTGGCGACAACTTCATCCAGCAGTGGACTAATCATGACCGATAATTATATATTGTACATATTTGGTTCATGTAAACCCTGCAGCCACCAGAGGTGGGTGCTACGTCAACCACGGTTGTAAATTAATAAATAATTGGCTTCATTTGTGGCAATGCATCCTCTTACAAAGGGGCCCAACTTGTTATATGCCTATTGCAGCTCACGATCTTGCTTATAATAGAACATCCGGATGGCACTTAAGCCATCAATGGGATGTGTAAATAAATACTTAAATTTTTATAATGTGGAGAAACAAATACAGACAGGAGCCATAGTCAACATTTATTTTGTTACTAAGTGATATACGCCACCCTGTGCTCATTTGAATTTAAGAAAAAAACATGTTTTTGTATATTGAACATGT